ATGCAGATGGCTTATATTGTATATGGCAAGGCAGGGCTAAAAATTTGACGATTTTAAATCTACCTAACATTACAGTTATACAGAATGATATCACTGTAAAATGTAACTTAATATAAATAAAACAGGTCAAACACTGTTAGAACATAAAACCACAGACTATTACCATAATCCCAAAATCCTTACGTGGCAGTCCAATAGATAGATTGAAATGTATCGATGTATCACATACTTAACACTCTGTGTTTTACGGTATATAGTGGGGTTAGATTTCAATAGTGTACTTCGTAGATATCAATGTGTGAAACTAATGTCTGGTTGGGTCATTGTAAACAATTATTATTTTAAAACAGCTACTGTTGAGTTTCTCGCCGGCTCTTCTCAGCAGCACTGCCTTCCAAGCTGGCGTGAAGTAAAGTAAAGTAACGTAAAGTAAAGTAACGTAAACGTAAAGTGCTTGTAAAAGTCTATTTGAATAAAAGTATATATTGATCTGATTTGAATAGGCAAGCACTACAAAAACAATCTAGTGCTATATTTTTTTAAAGAAAAACGTCTTTTTGTTTTGTCGTAGGCAAACCCAAAAAAAAGGGTTTCTGCAAAAATCAGTTCTAATAAGCTAACAGTCAACTAGTAACAGCTCCTTTATTCCTAAGACTACCATTTTATTACCATTAGCAAAACTCACTATCGTTCCACATCACTTATTTTCTACGTGAACGTTAGTTTGATTTACCGGGTTAAAAATAGTGTACCACATTCTCCACTCTCCAGTCCACAAATCCTTGCAACCTCGTTTCATTAATATGTGAAGAAAGAGCAAATCCAAAAAATAAACAAACACGCGTCGAATTTAAAATAATAGGTGCCTGACAGTATAGCATACATTCAAGTCATAAATAAAAATATATCCGCAAAAATATTCGATAATATAGTTTTATTTCAATCTGGCATTGCCTGCGGCTCCGCCCACGTTAAGATGACCAAAAAGAAATTCATAGGTTTTACATATTAGTATACCCTTGCATTGCAGATTTTGTATTTTTTCTCAGAAATGAGACATTTTCCCGGGATAAAAAGTATCCTATATGGTGACCCGGATAACCAGGTATCACCATACCAAATTTCTTCAAAATCCCTCCAGTGTTTTTTCTGTGATGCGGTAACAGACAGACAGACAGACAGAAAAAAAATCTAAAAACTATAGATTCGGCCTCTCTATCAATAATAATGTTTATTTCAATAAGATTTTCCAAAAAATATTTTATGTACAGATTCGGCTTAGTTACAATTTTAGTATATGTAGGTATAGATGTTTAATATACGCGTAAATCTAAAGAAGTATTAAATATAAAAGTTTAAAAAATCGTTTAGATGATAGATGTTTTTCATAATATTTGGATGTAAAATTTCTGTGACCAATGTGTATTCGATTAGAAAAAAAAATGAATTCATGAAACATGTCAGCAACACTGTACTGTTAACAATGTACATATTTGATTTAAATATTTTGACAATATCATTCAAACAAAATAAGAAAAAACCATCGCTTGGTTGTACATCTGTCATAGCACGAGACACGTATTAAAAAAATATTTAAACATGAAACCAAGATATTTAGGCAGTGGTATGAAAATATCGTTCTGGAAATTTTATTCAATCTAAAAAAAGAGATTTGGCAGAGACGTGTTTTGACTAACGACACATTACTTGTACCTTCAGTGTTTAGGGTATATATAAAAAAGGAAGATATAAAAATTGCTCTGTTTCAGAAAAGACACCTAAAATAATATACAGTAATACTAAAAAACTTAAACCTTATCTAAATATATAATTTTATCGAAATTTTAAGAGGCGTTTCCGAGATAAGCGAAATAAATATATATATATATATATATATATATATATATATATATATATATATATATATATATATATATATTGCTCATTTAATATTATCTATTCTTCTATTATGAAAAGGAAAAAATGTTTTTTGTTTGTTTGTATCGAATAATCTCCGAAACTACTGAATCGATTTAGATGCTTGGTAAGACTCTGGGAAGACCCTAGGACATAGGATAGTTTTATCCCAGAAATCATCACTTAAAGGGGTGAAAATGGGGATGAAAGTTTATATGGGAAAGCAACCTAGGAACGAACCCAAGCAAAGTGAGGGTGAGTCGCTAGTAAATATAAAAGACACCTAGGGACGCACATGAGAAAAGCGAATGAAAGTCACTACTACGAGTATGTATTTGCATATATCCAATATTTACATCTTTCATGATAATTTAATCTAGTAGCATGGGAATTCATCATTGTAGATATGTAAGTAGATAGATATCTTTGTGTATTATGGAAATAATGGAAAGAGGTCTGTCATTCTCTGAAATGGCTTTCTGATTATATAAAAGTAATGATATTTATTTACCAAAAATCCCTACTAACATATAACATATTGAGTATTCCCAATATTGGAAGGGATAGTTTTCTTTCTTTAGATTCTATTCAGTATAGGACCTACTATCAGATCAAAGTTTTAGATTGTACTCGTAAGTTATTTTTTGAGGTAAAATTCTTACTGCGCTATTGTGTTTAGATAATACAAACACCTTTAAAGACTCTTGCACGACGCCCTACATAGTAGAAGCCTGAGAGCAGCTGCAGCTAACTTAACGTTTGTATTTATAAGATACTGGGTAGATCTAAACATTAATAGAAATTAAACATTAATAATAGTGCGTTTAAGGCAGTGGTAGTCCAGTGGTAACGCGCTTGCTTGTATCTTGTAAATAGAGTGAAGCGGGTTCAAATCCCGAGTCTCACACCACTGATATTTTCATGTGCGAATCATTTCCAACATGATTACCACTTGACTTACGATGAAGAAAAACATCGTGAGGAAACATGACATGTGAAGTCCGCCAACCCGTACTTGGCCAGCGTGGTGGACTATGGCCTTATCCCCATCGTATTGAAGGGAGGCCCGTGCCCAGCTGTGGGACGTTAAAAAGGGGTTGAATACATTAAAATATATTATTTTCTTTAATTTAATTCTAGGAAATATTATTATGCTGTATATTTTGTTTTTCTTATCCTCAAATAAGCGTAAATAAAATGAGCAAATCCGTATGTAGAATTAGAAATAATTCATCAAATTTTTTACAACAATTCTCTTGCAGAGTGACATATTTGATTGGCATTACTTAATATGAATGTAGAACGTGAATTCCATTCTTTAAAAAATACAGAATAAAAATTGCTGTACAGGAATTTACTTAGCCTGGCCAAAATGAAAACTTTGAACGGATTTGTTAAGTATTACACTCGTTCTGCCAGCCTGTTGGGGATATTGGATATAACAATAACTTTTTATAGTCTTACATAGTGACACTTCAATCTGATTCCGACATTTTAACATGCGCAAAACTGACTAGGTTAACAGTTACTAACACCAAACAAACCAGAAATACAAGTATTATTAGACATCATTAAATATAAAAAATTACAACATGATTACAACTCGCCATAATAGAAAAGAAAAACATCCTGTGGAAACCACCATGTCTGAAAAACATATTATGTCGTTAATGTTGGATAGAAAAGAAAACACCATAAGCAATTATATTTGGCTAGAATAGTGTACTGTGATCCCTTGTATTAAAGGGCGATCCAGAGGGCACCGGAAGCGAAATTTCTGATATATTATTAATACTTAAAAGCGACAGTAGCAAAAAAGTATACATATGATAATTTTTATTATAGTACAGGTAAAATTTAAAACGTTTTCATAAAAAATGTACTTATTTTTTTTATATAAAAAAATTAACTGTTGTTTTATTTATTTATTTATTTTCCCGATTCATAACCGCCGCGTCGTTAAAATACGCACAATTTTAAATGTATGCATGGAAAATTGATTTTCATTACGTTCATGTGGTTTTTATATGGTTTCTGTATTTTAATTCGCATCGTATCTGCGGTGCTATTGACGACAGGCTGAGAATTTATGAAGCCCTAAATGTTATTCGCCAAACAATTTTTGAGGTAGTGTCCGTTTTATTTTGTTTTTTTTTATGTGGAAATTGAATTATTACCTTTTATATTTACTATGGAAAATTATTTTCAAGTTATTGTCGTAGCTTGTTTATGAAGATTATTTTTAAATGTAACTTTTATCTCATATTTTATAATTACAGCAGTGTTTTATTCGCAGATTATATTTCTATATATTTGAATAAAAACTTTTTTTTATATAATATTAGCTGCATTGGCACTACCGAATGATTATTTTAAAATGATATGATAAATTTAAATTAATTAAAATTAGAAAAATATTAAAAATAAACAAGCCGTTACTCTCATATAAATTGTGTAGTATACCTAATAAATTGATGTTTTTTTTATTATTCGTATTCTTCTCAGCAAACCATTTCATTTGATATCCATATCATGGGATTGCATTAAAAACATATTCCGTCCTCGTTAGGAATCCGCCATATTGGATTAAGAATGACGTCACTTAGCTAAACATGGATTACTATCCATTCTTAGAGTGGTTGTAAAATTTCAGCCCAATCGGATGTAGATAACTGCTTTAAAATTCAGTTGAAAATTTGACCAAAACCATTGCAGGTAATAAAAGCTTATAATTAAAGTAGGCATAATTTCCTATATAAAAATACTATCAAAGTACTCCCCAGCTTATTTGGTAAATCGATTTGGTAAAAAATTTGGACTCGAAGAAGTAAGTACAGAAATTTAATTTCGCCCGCGTTCAAACTACTAAAAACAAACTCTTTGACACACCAACAGCAGCACCACCTACTGGGTCCAATTGTGTTTTGAAAACATCCAGTAGCCCATTGAAATATACGCACAAAATTTCATCCAAATTGGTCCAGGCCCTTACTAGGACTAAGGTGACAAACACGCGTACAGAAGAATTAAATAAACGAAAATTTTAGTTTATATTTGTTGCATAATATGAATATTTCATGTAGATGGTGTCAGCGTCCACAATGGCCGGGAAACCAGCGAACTGATTATTGGCAAAGCGGAACCGCGGCATTCCGGCAATTACACTTGTGTGCCGGCCAACGCTAGAGCCGCATCTGTTACTGTTCATGTTGTACAAAGTGAGTATAATATTTCCTTACTTAAATAAACATAGCTAAGTTTTATGATTCATATAAAATTTTGGGGGTAAAGGAAGCAGTTTGTATGGAAATGAGGTTCTGAAATGAGATGTCTCCAAAATTAGGCTGTTACGCTACGGCTTTCTATAGCAGACGTTGAACCTTTACGATATTTAATACTAAAAGCAGCCACTAATAAATAAATAGAAAATATCTATATTATTCGAAATACTTATTATAGTTTTGTTTAACGGTAAAGTATGTCAAGTGTAAGTAAATTATTTTTTTTTTAATTTTAGCATCAAAAGAAATATTTAAAGAATTAATAATTAAATCAACTATATAATAATTATTTGATGAATTTGAAGCAAAATACCATTTGACATAGAAGGTCTGCGTCGACCTATGTACGTACTACGTATAAAAAAACTTTTCTCTTGAGAATTATACATCCATTGAATGTGCGCTAGCTTCGATACGTGCAGAGTTTAACTTTTTACTATCTAAGATTTCACTCTTAGCAATTTTAAAATTCTCGCTACTCCAATTTTTCAAGGCAAAGTTTGCTGATTTTACAATCACAATAGGTGGCTTGGTTAGATAGCTAAAAGTTTGCTCATTTCTTAGAATATAGTCTCGGTATCTTAGAAAAGACCATGTGTATTTGTTTCACGAAGGCAAATAAACTATATTAGTTATGATATATCTATCAATGCTCTATGTTATTAAAGTGTTATTCTGTAATATTTTATTTTAAGTAGCAAAATATTTTTTCTAGTAGTCATCAAGATTAAACTGTATACCAGAAGCAGCTCTTTAAAATATCCTTTGATATATATGAATGTTTAACAAATATACATTTCAAGAAATAATATATGTATACGTAAAGAAAATTTCATCATACAAATATGCTATCATTAACTTGAGTGAATTACAAATTCCATTGTAGAGTAAAAATAATACAGTCATTTTACTCGGAGACTAATGTCCTCCTCAAGCTTGCGTTCTGAGTTTCTTTCGCCAGTTCTTCTCAGGTTTGTGGCTTCTTCTTTCCGAACAGGTAGTAGACTCATGACATTCAGTAAAAAATTGTAATAATTTAATACTGAATAAAATATTTTGAATTTGAATTGAATTTACATTTAGAAGGTAAAGGTGTCTTAGATGAACCACTTGGGGCTTAATTTGAGTGAACATAAATATATTGGATATCTTTAGAAAAGACCTTTAAAAATTACACATTTTTTTATTTAAATCAATGGTTGCTGAATTCTGCAGTCGTAATATTAACTTTGTTTTTCATAGTATACTTGATATGTATGTGTATTGTATATGTATATAATTATAAGACAGCGGTAGCCCAGTGGTAACATGCTCGCTTGGGAAACCGAGTGAAGCGAGTTCAAATCCCAGGTCTCGCACCTCTGATATTTTCATGTGCGAATCATTTCCTACATGATTACCACTTGTCATAACGGTGAAGGAAAACATCGTGAGGAAACCTGCATGTCCGAGAGAACATAGTGAGTTTCAAAAAGACAATTGTGAAGTCTGCCAACCCGCACTTGGCCAGCGTGGTGGACTATGGTCTGATTCCCCTCGTACTGAAGGGAGGCCCGTGCTCACCAAGGGGATCTTAAAAAGGTCTGAATACATACACAGAGTATACTTGAAAAATAATTACTACCTATTAATTTTGCCCTAAAATGATATAATTTAATATCTGGTTATATGGAACCATCGATGCGTAGTTTGAACTCGCACTCATCCGAATTCACAGTGCCTAAAATGAGATAATAGATATGATTTAATATAAGATAGTATTACATTTAATAAAAGGCAGTGGTGGCACAGTGGCAATGCGCTCACTTAGAAACCCGAGTAAAGCTGGTTCAAATCCGGGTCCCGTATCTCTGATATTTCCATGTATTGATCATTTCCAACATGAGTACTTGTCTTTCAGTGAGCATAAACACCGTAAGGAAACTTGCATGTCTGAGAGAATCTAGCAAGTTTTCCTAAGAAGTGTGAAGCCTGCCAACCCGCACTTGGCAAGCGTGGTGGCTTGGTCTCCCTCGTATTAAAGAGAGACCTTGTCCAACAGTAGGATGTTAAAAAGAGCTATTTACATATACTGGATAAACTGAGACTGGTTATTTATGCACATTTAAACAGATGAACTTTATAACTCTTTTAGCATTAACGTTAATCTTTCGATCCACTGTCCGTCTCACAATCTAGTCATTAAAAATGAGACAGCAAAATATCTACACACATACCATGTACTTATTAATACCCTTCTAACACTACTGTATTGTAAAGGCCTAACCTGTAAAGTTGAATCTATTCAATGTCAAGACTGTTGATGGAAATGCCAGTATAAATGTAAATGTAAACAACCTAGTTGCATTTCTAGATTGTCTAAACACTGAATTCAGCAAAATCTACTAAGCACTTATGTATTTGGACGTGTAATACAGAATAAGGTTAAAGTCGAAACAGAGGTTCCTAAGCATTTAAAGCTAGAAATTCTACAGCTTTATTCAATTCTGTGCAAATAGCGTTGATAAATTCTGTTACATTCAGGGATAAAATTTGCTAAAGACCTTCGTAGAATTTTCGACTTTGTTTATTTGTATTGTACATACTTGTATGTTTGCACAAACGAATGATGCAGGCTCGATTGATGTTAAAGTGAAAATTTAAATGAACTATTGTTAACTAAAACTACTGATGCGTAATGGAATACTCGATTACTCTTTATTTAAATAAAATATCGGAGCGCAATCACAACTTTAGTTAATGACGACATTAAGCGTGCTGCGTCGTCATGCGATAGTGGCATACGTCTGTACGTATACGTACGTAATGGTCCAGTTTGCAGAGTGCACAAAGTGCACAGAATAAGTACCAAATATATGAATTAATGATATATTTTTAACATCCTAAGCTTCCTCGGGAAATTAGTGATCACGAATGATTTGGAAAAGTCAGACGAACACGAGTCTAATTTGGCTTCATATAGTTAAATAATATATTAGTGTTAGGCTGTTTACATATATGTGACTTTAAAAACAAAATGAATAAATATGCACAATATTAAGTTTACCAACAGCAAAAATTAATTTGTTTCATAATTTTTTTTTTCGAAAATACTACGCAATAAAGTTGCTTATGCAGCCACTTTTGCGAAGTATGCAACAGAAAATTTCCCTTTTATCAAAAACTACGCATATATTCACTTAATCATTGACTTTGAAAGCGTTTTGATGTCTTCCAAATAAACTCAATTTTTACATGAATACAACATTAACGAACTTTCTAAAGATACTCCTTACACTTACGTAAACATAATGAAAAAAATATTAGCTTAGATATTTTTTGGAAAATAAGCTATAAAAATCATTTTCTCTTTGTGTTTAGAATGATGTAAGTAATTCAGTTGTCCTATCAATGTAAGCTTACCTGCAAGCCTGACGTGAACTAAACACAGTATTTGATCAATGACGATTAAACGGGTCCAAACGGTAAGTAGGCTATTAGCATAGTACTAACAACGGTATACAAATTGATTCAGGGTAGACTAAGCTCCGATCAACGACACAACCAGAAACAGTTTCCATAAAGGTATTTAAAGGAATTTGTAAATTTTTGGAAAGGGTTTTTACATATTTTTGTAAGCTTTCATGATATAGAATTCATATGACGTATCATAGTCTTTTGTTTACCCTGATATGATTGAATATAACGTATTTTGTTATAATTTTCAGGAGCAAATTTTGTTTTAACGACCACTTTTTTATCTATATACTTATTTATGCATGCTAGAAGTCCTTGGGTTTGAGCTCCACGTCAGTCTAGAGGAATTAGGATTTTCAGTGAATAAACTCAATATAGCATTCTAGATTTATTTTATAATATCTTGGAAAAGAAGCAATGCCGTCTTAAGTCTTATCCACTTCCGGTCGTGACGCTTTACACGCTCATCGGACCATTAGAGAGCGGAAATAAATTGTAAATTCTAAAATCTATATTTACTCTTTATTATTTATTTCTGCACTATAATATTTCGTATACTTTAGTAATCTCAATGAGATTGATCACCATCAATATTGGCAAATCATCCAGTATAATATTATTCTATGTTGACGAGACAAGGACGTTTATTTGTTTGGTCCATTTAAATATTATGTGCATGTTTGTCATAATTGTTTGTTATATATGTTATAAGCGCTAAGTAAAACCGCTCAACTTTATCATTATTTTCTCCATCTAGATACTAGATAAATACATTTCAATGCGAATGCAGGTTGTTTTCGTTAGCATTTTCAAATAAAAGAACACATTTTAACTCGCAGTAAACTCGTGCAATCTCTCTCTAGAGATTTTCTCATCCAACTTATATACGATTTCACTTCTTGATAGCGTGCATCAATTCAGCATAGAGTTGACTTTGCTATTGGATTTTTATATAATTTTTCTTTATAATATGTTTATTTTTAATATATAAGTTTCCCGAAAATCGTGAGTTTTAGTCTAAATAAGTTAAAAAATCTAATTAGATTACCTTCCTCATTTTTCGTTGTTATTGAAACATTAAGAAATGAACTGCGCTATTTAATGTTATATTTTTCATTTCATTTGAAATATTATATGACCTTATTAGCTATATCATACACTAGCGACTCACCCTCGCATCGCTCGGGTTTGTCCCTAGCTTGATTCCCCATACAAACTTTCATCCACATTTTCACAACCTTAAGGGACGATTTCCGGGATAAAAAGTATCCTATGTCCTTTCCAGAGTCTCAAACTATATTCTTATCAAATTCTATCTAAATCGGTTCAGTAGATCCAGAGATTACCCCCTATAACGTCAGAAACTCACACCGTCACAAACTCACAAACTTTACCTCTTTATAATGTTGTAATATAGGATAGATGATTAATAAAAACAAGTTTTAAACACATTTTTCTTGGTTAGGAAGGGATAAATAATACTATATGTAGTATAAACATATATCCTGTGTAAAAATCAAATCCATGTATCCCATATACATACTAGGTAGTGTTATTTAGGTATATACCTCGCTGAGTCACATGGTAGTCCAAAAATTATTTTATCATAGAATAAATATGAAAGAAAATCTAAAAATGCTGAATTTGTGTACTCATAATTAGTAAAAAATACAAAATGATAAGAAAATTTCTTTATATGTGTTAAACGAATCTAATTACTATACTGAATCGTTAGAAACTTATTTGTTAAATATTATAATCTACTAATTTAGGCTTATTACATGTCACAATTAATTTTTGAATTCTATACATTACATTAGAATGGTAGGTGAAAGAAATTGACATGAGATGTTTAGATATTCTAGTAAAACTACTCATTGTTAGAGTGACATCGTATTTAATTGTTATTTTTACCGAATCACAACTTATAAAATCGATTTCGATCCAATTTTTGTATTGATCGTACCAATACTGGTATCGGTTTGGTTTGAACAGCGCGCCGTTAATCTCGAACCGAAACACATATTTTGCTAAACTCAACGAACGATGCATAGTAAATGGTGTAGTGAGGCACTATGTTTAATACAACATGCGGTACACTAGAAGTATATCATGTACTTATATATACCTACTTGAAATTGGGATTTTTTAATACTTTTAAACTGATGGAATATAAAAATGTATACCAGAGCTATTAGATTACTTTTGTAAATGCAAAAGTGTGTATGTATGTGTGTATTTTTGTTACTCTTTTTAGATAAAAAGACCGAATGGATAAAAATAAATACACAGATGACCACATAGGCTATTGTTAGGCACCCAGGGATTTTCGCTAGTGTAGATATAATGGGTTCGAGTCCCGCTGAGGAAATTCATTTGTGCGCTAAACACAAATGTTTGTTCTCCAGTCATGGGCGTTTATATTTATAATATGTATGTATTTAAAGTTATATATATGTAGCGCATCAACTATCTGGTATCCATAACACGAGCCTCGTAGCTTACCATGGAACTAGATGGTGCTGTGTGTTAATGTTCCAACATATCTATATATATAAAAGAAAGTCGTGTTAGTTACTTCGCTTATAACTCAAGAACGGCTGAACCGATTTAGCTGAAAATTGGCAGGGAGGTAGTTTAGAGCCAGGAGAAGGACATAGGATACTTTTTATCCCGTTCGACCGCGTTCCAATTTTTATGATATTTTAATTTTTGGATTTCTCTTAGTCCGGAATAGGTAAGTATTAAAACATATAATTAAAATGTGAGAAAGAAAGATTTTTTCTTTTTATATCTATTTAAAACGTACCTAGCGACGAACCCGAGCGAAGCGAGGGTGAGCCGCTAGTTTATTTAATAAAATAATATATAGATAGTTTTGTCGCCTTATACTTTTAATGAAACTTCTTAATTACTGACACACAAAGCGGCTACGCTAAGACGTAATTCAGTAACACGAGTTTAATCTAGCTAATAGTCTAATTTCGAGCTTGCTCCATTTGTCGACTTCATCACACAATAAGATAACATAATCCATGCTTTCATTTCTACTTTTCCCTTTATGTAAATAGTATCTTCCAGTATGATATAACAATTAGTTGATTGGGTTTGTTGACTTAAAGGGTTTAGAAGAAACAATTTCATAAATACATTTAAAAAAAAATATACCTTTAATTTATTTTGAAAATCTTATCTAATATATTTAAACGAGCAATTCTTGTATATAATATATATTATTTATATATAATCTGAATCTCGGAAACGGCTCCAACGATTTTCATGAAATTAAGTACACAGGGGGTTTCGGGGGCGATAAATCATCACACAAATTAATGCCCCAGCGGGACTCGAACTCGCGACCGCTGATAAAACAAGTAGGGTCACTAGAAACTGAGCCAAACGTGTCTTCAATTATAAATAAGACTAGCGGCTCACCCTCGCTTCGCTCGAGTTTGCCTCTACAAAAGCACAAACAGATCTATCCCACGGGAACCGTTCTTTTTTTTTTCGAATTAAAAAGTAACCTGTTGTTTGACCGGTAATATAAGGCATGCCTAATATTACTGAATAAGGTGCATAAGTTTTTATGTACTAAGCTGTATAACTTACTATAGTTTTTTAACTATCTCACGGAAACTCTTTAATTTTCTGGAATGAAAAGTATCTTAGATGTTGACCGGGGATATAAGGTACTACTATGCAAAATTTCATTTAAATCGGTCCAACAGTTTCGGAGATCAGACCGTACAAGCAAACAGACAAACACACAGAGTAACAAAAAAAATGAGAAAATCTGGATTTGTTCTATTTCTCTTCTGACTCAGATTTTAGCACTTTTTTTCAATGTAAAAAATATATCCTAGATTATTAGTTAACATACTTTGAGAATCGTATCAGAAATTCTGGTATTTTCAAAACTAAATTTAGCTCTTTAAAATAATACGGAAAATCTCAAAGCATACAATTTATAGTGGATTTTTTATGAGTAACATAAAATCAATCAACCTAAAGCTATCTAGATACATCCCATTTTTCTAGTGCAATTTTAATAAAATTTATATAACCACAGTAAACTGCAAGCACTATTATATTTTAGGTGGATCTATAAATAGCGGGTTTTTGGTATATTTTATACCTGAATACAGCTATTAATCTCATATCTATCCGCTCGCTTCAATTGAAATCGTCGATTTGGTTTTTTGCTAACCTCCAGGGATTTAGTTATTGGATGATAAAATAAAATTTACATGTACTAACACATTTTTTTCGTTATTTTGGACTCTGTTATTTGCTTAACTTATAACTGTTTCGGAAGATATAATTTAAAAAATAGCTATGACAGTACTTCCAGAAAAAGCATTTATGTAAAACAAAGTTTTAAAAAAAACTAAGAGGCGTGACTTGTTTGGCTAATATAACAATAAATTTAAAAAAAAACAATTCAATTTAATTTTTTGTAGAATTTAGTATGGATAGATCTTGAATTCATTCTTGACAAATTGTATTAGGGGTTGTCTTAGGACTGTCGTTCTGACATTATTGGTAATTTTCCTTAATATTTTTGATTTCTAAGAGGGCTACCCCGAACTTTTACGAACGAAATATATTTTATTTATATAGCGCGTGTAGAAAGAAGTCTATATGAATAAAATATAACAAGATTTAAGAAAACAGTAAGTTTTATTTTTTTGTTACCAACGCTTCCAATATTAGAATTCGAAGCAAACATGAACACGGGAGAGTTACTCTACTAAACCTTACTGTAAGGTTTTTGATGTCTTAGTTATAGAATAATTTATAACAAACTAGCGACTCACCCTCGCTCCGGTCGGGATACGTTTTCACATTTAGTATAGATTTCTCAGAAAAGAGATATTTTGTCGCAGTAAAAAGTATCCTATATATATTGACCCGATTAACCGCGGCTCCGCCCACGTTCAGATAACCAAAAACCAAATTCTTGGGTTCTACATATTAGTATACTCTTACATTGCAGTTTTTGTATTTTTTCTCAGAAGTGAGACATTTTCCCGCTGTAAAAAGTGTGTATCCTATATGTTGACCCAGATAACCAGCTATCACCATACCAAATTTCATCAAAATCTGTCCATTGGTCTTCTAGTATTGCGTTCCCAGACAGACAAACAGACAGAAAACATTCTAAAAACTATAGATTTACTATTTCAATTTAGATTATTACAATAAGATTATCCAAAAAATATTCAATGTACAGATTCGACTCAGAATTTTATTATATGTATAGATGAGAAATGACACCGAAATAACATTCGATTTGGGTGTTTCAATTGTATTTAGTAAGTTTAGACGATAAATAAAAACTGTATATTTATTTTGAATGTAATATAAGTTTTGTTTTCAGGCGAAACTCCAGCCGCAATGCAGCATGGCAATAATTTCTCTGTGAAATCAACCCAAGTGCATGTACTACTAATTTTACTATTACCGTTCATGTATAAAATTTTAGGATTTGGATAACGTCTCATTATAGGTAATGATGCAATTTCTGTCCACGATATTTTCCAATTGAAAATTTACTAAATATCTAATATATGTATGTTCGCGTATTATTTGTAATTAATAAACGTATAGTTGTTTTGTCAAATAATTCTAATTGGAATGGTTTTTTATAGTATGTCCTAAATAGAAATATTTAGTGATACTATATTAATTTTACTCTATTATATTCGTATGAAATGTTATATTTAATTTCATTTATGTAATTAATTGGTGTTTTAATTAAGCTATATGTTTTAGTACTTGTAATATAAAAAAAGAATCAAAATTATTATATTATTTTTGTTAAACCAATAGCTACGAGTATGTTATATATCTTAATAAAAATATTCCATATATTTTATTAAGATATCTAATGTAACTTAAGTAATAAATAAAGTTTATACTAAATTGTAAAATATTACTTACGTTTTATTTGAACGTGATGATCAAATATTCTATAAAACACTTTTAACTACACTTGTTAAATGCATTTAATAAGTCTTAAGAACTTAGACAACATGTCTCTTGACAATCATTGAATGTTAGAAACCTAAAATTATATATGTAGACTAGCATTGCCCGCGGCTCCGCCCGCGTTCAGATGACCAAAAACCAAATTCTTAGGTTTTACATATTAGTATACTCTTACAATACAGTTTTTGTATTTTTTCTCAGAAATGAGATATTTTCCCGCGGTAAAAAGTATTCTATATGTTGACCCGGATAACCAGCTATTATCATACCAAATTTCATTAAAATCTGTCCAGTGGTTTTCTCGTGATGCGGTAACAGACAGACAGACAAACAAAAATTCTAAAAACTATAGATTTGGACTCTGCATCGATAATAATGCCTATTTCAATTAGATTTTCCGAAAAATATTTAATGTACAGATTTGACTTAGTTACAATTTTATTATATGTATAGATGTAACATAATATTATTATGATTCTATGACATAACAATAAAATTTGAAATTTCAATACAATTTTTTTTTTAAATGTGTAACCTAAACTCTAAACAATTATATTAAATCAAATATCTAACCTTTATCGATTGTGGATTGACATCTTGTCTAAGCCCTTCTAGCGCTTAAATGATTTGATAAACGATAAACTTATTTGAAACTTTTATATACTTTTATTTTTTCAACAGTCACAAACAATTTATAAAAATTAATTAAATCTATCATAAAAACCGTAACTGCCTACGATATTCGATTGACACGACTTTCTATGACATTTGTCATGAGTTCAATTCCCGATTGGGACTAATATTTTTAGTAAGACAATGATGATTACTTTGAATATCTACAAATAAATTTGATAGATATAAAAAAATCTTACAGTTTGAAATGAGACACCATAGAAAAGTTTTTTTTTCTATCAAGCTATACTAATTAGTGTTTTGAATTTGTCATTTCACTATATATAGGACTTATGATTGACATATGGTATTATATCTGTTTGGAAATTATAAAAACTATGATGCTCTCCTGACCGATTCCGGTCACGGCGGCCAATCTCATTGAGACTAGCTAACTGCGCAGGAGATATTATAGTGCACAAGTGTAAGCGCAGATACAACGTGCACTCTCTATTCATGTCATTCTCATACTCTGGTGGGACGACCATTCGACACGACCAGTGAGAGTTAAGGCGCAGGACCGACGGCTTTACGTGCTCTCTGAGGCACGGGGGTGAAACACCGCCAACTTCCCAGGGCTGTTACTGAGACTTCCTATACAGAAAGACTCAATAACTAAACTTGGCCCGACCCGGGCCTCGAACCCAGAACCTCCGGGATGCAGCCCTACATACTACCCACTACACCGCCGAGGCATCATAAAAACTATATATGTATTATAAGAGCATTTAAAAATTTAGAGCTCGTACAGCGATTTCGCGAACTCTTAACGCCTTAAAAATGATTGTTATATTGTTATATTATAATTTTGTAATATAAATATATTATGTAATAAATACCTATATAAATAAAAGGCCTTTGCTTGAAGTATAAAATAATATATTTTAATGGTTTTTCAAAAATTAAATTATAAAACAAACATAATTTTTATTTGTTGTATAAATTAAAAGTGGAAATATCAGAAAATTTAATTAATATTATTGTAGGCTTTACTTTATAGAATACAAGTACTCATATCTTTTGTTCTAAAGAAATATATTTTCAATATGGAAAATATCATATGGTATTCGAAAATTTTATTACAGTTAAAATAAAGTATACCAATCGAGTACAATAATGTTTGAATGTAAATAAATTGTGAAATATATACGCATATAAGTGATATATAAGATTATGTAAAATTATCTGTCATGGTTATAAGAATAAATAAGATTTTGAATTTAACGTGCCAAGCTTTTTTGTGTTTTATTTAGATCCATTTATTTTTTTAACTACTAGTTTTAGCCCACACTTTTGTTGTATGGTAATACGTGGATATAATATTTACTATTTATTACTCTCTAAATACTCTAAATACTCTTCGTATTTATCATATTACATTGAAATTCTTAGAAGAGACAATTTTTCTCGACTTTATACAAAAACGTCATCAGACCGGTAGCAAAATCTTTCAAAATTATAGCTTTTCTACATAATCCGTCTTTCAATTGGTGATAATCATTTGAAATACGGTACAGCACTTTGTGATTGATATTAGCACAAACAAACACAAACTATGTGGCCGTAGTATATACAAATAAACATATAAAGGCATTAAGCATATCTAGTACATTCATAGCATGAATTAATCTATTCTACGGGAACTGCTATGGACAATTCCAACGGTACTGGTTAGTACAATATAAAAGAAAAGTAGTACAAACTTCCTACCCACGAAAAATACCTACCAGCTGTGAAGCCAGGGGTGAATGGTAAAACTTTTCAATGGCTCTCATAAAGCCTTTAAGTTTGAACTCATTTGATTCGTTTCGACGTGTACCATACATAACAGTTGGTCGAAAGCGAAACTTTTTGAAAATCTATATATAAATGGACAAAGAAAAAATAGTAGCATCTGCAGAACTAGGAGATTTGTGCAATCAGCTGCCGGCGCCATATCCGCGGTAAGTCAACATAAATATCAGTATGCAAGCAAAAAATAATTAAATATCATCTAAAGAGTTTTTATTTTATGCTAACATAATCTAGGTACAATGAAATTTAAAAAACACATATTATGTTTTTAGCTAAGTTATCCATACTAATATTATAATTATGAAAATGTGTGTGTTTGTTTGTCCTTCTTTCACGTCAAAACGGAGAGACGGGTTGGCGTGATTTTTTTTGTGGTAATAGTTGGAAGGCTGAAGAGTGATATAGGCTACTTTACCGCAGGAGGTTACCTAATTCCCACGGGAAAACACGTTATAATACAATTCAAAGAAATATTTATGATTAGAATTACTTCAAACTTGGTATTACGTGTATTACCATTTTTCGAAATTCATTCTATAAGGGGATAAAATAGGGGATGAAAGTTTGTATGAAACTACCTTTTTAAATATTTTTTTGTAGTTTTAGCGCGAGAGAAGCCACGGATTCTGCAGGTTACCTATATTTATATAGACAACAGCTAATTTGAAACAGATTCATAAAGAAATTTCACCTAGGTAAGTATTTTATGTAAAGAGTGACCAATATAAAAAAAAGATAATTTTAAATAATTTTAATGTTAAATTATCTAGTTTAAAAATTAAAAGTAAAAAATATCTATTTAATGACCATTTTTAATTATTTTAATAAATACTTATCAAAAGTAAAACTGAAATTGATTGTTTTCAAACTGATGGCTATTTCCACTTTATAAAAGTTTTTTTATAGCAGTTCTAAATTAGTTTTATCTATACGATTGTGTATTGTTTTAGAGCGGAAAGGCTAATAAAAGTTTTGAAGCCAAACTAGCTTCTAGAAGTAGAAATAAGCGAAAACAATTAAAAGCTTTAAGCTCTCATCGAGGTTTTTGTTTATACGAGATCAGTTCGGATAAAATTTATTTATTTTACTTAACTGGCAAATAAAAATTTTAAAATGCGTCAATTGCTATTAAATAATATAGTGCCAGTCGAGCACAGACATACGATGAATTCGTTGAACTTTGCCAATGTTACGTTAAAAAAACAAACTATTAAGTCTTGTTGGTAAAATAACATAGCAATAAAAAGGTCGAATCCACTGTAAATAAAGCATCTACAACGAAATACATCAAAATTAATCAATTAATTCTCCAACGGCACGTGAATTCGAGAAGACACGAAGAAGATTGGTTGGCAAACATCAAAATTAAATATCTTCTATACACGACACGTTTGGCTCAATTTGGAGTGACCCTACTTGCTGTGCCAGCGGTCGCGGATTCGAGCCCCGCTGGGGGCATTCATTTGTGTGATGAGCATGAATTTTTCTACTCCAGTTATGGGTGTTTATATTTATAATGTGCATGTATTTAAAGTCATATATCTGTAGTGTATCAACTATCTAGTATCCATAACACAAGCCTCGTAGCTTACCATGAAACTGGATGGTGCTGTGTTAATGTCCCAACATATATAAATAAATAGGTAAAAACAAAACAGCTTAGTACTCTTTCCTACTCTGTTTTTAATCGATTTTATATTTCCTTGTCTAGTAACTATTGACCAATTTTAGTGCTGTCAATAAAAAACAAACTTGAAGTCAGTTTCTTTTAAATAATAATTATGATCGAATTTCCATCGCTGGGTGAAAACTATCTTATTAGATGAGCAATTATACGTTTTGTATTTAGCAAGGTTTTGCTTTATAATTTTACCGCAACGAACGAAACGCTCTTTTTATACCTGATCCGGAAAAACACCGAGCGACAGTCGGTCACTCAGGTACTCAATATACATTAAGTAGTTCAAATCAGAATGAAGCTAAACTGATATCAGAAAGAAAATCTATACATATAATAAAATTCGGAGTCGAGTCTG